AATGCGTAAATATATTTTATTGATTTAATCAGGAAGTACAAAACGGAATGCTCTGACATCTTGCAGATATTTTAAGGTTATAAAGAGCATAATAAATGTTTAGTCAAAATATATTTGCTTATCCCCTCCAAAAACTTGATGACGTCAGCTCGAAAATTTGCCGAATAAATCATATCTAAAATGTACAAAATATGATCAGTCTGTACTTGTGATCTATCACTCCATTCATATTTTTTGGATTTGCATATACAGGGTGATTCAAGAAAATAAATGAAAGCGTAAATTTATTTTACTGATTTACTCAGGAACTACAAAACCGAATGCTTCGAAATCTTGAAGATATTTTAAAATTATCATAAGCATGGTAAATTTTTGATTAAAATGTATTTGGTCGTCCCCCCTAAAAAATTTATGACGTCACCACAAAATTTTGCTGAATAAATCCTATCTAAAATGTACAAAATATGGTGAGTCTCTTCTTGTGATTTATCATTCCATTCAAATTTTTTCGATTTGCATATACAGGTGACTCAAAAAAATTAATGAATGCGTAAATTTATTTTATTGATTTAATCAGGAACTACAAAACCGAATGCTTTGAAATCTTGCAGATGTTTTAAGGTTATAAAGAGCATAATAAATTTTTAGTCAAAATATATTTGGTTATCTTCTACAAAAAACTGATGACGTCAGCTCAAAAGTTTGCCGAATAAATCGTATCTAAAATGTACAAAATATGATGAGTCTGTACTTGTGATTTATCATTCCATTCATATTTTTGGATTTGCATATGCAGGGTGACTCAAAAAAATTAATGAAGGCGTGAATTTATTTTATCGATTTAATCAGGAATTACAAAACCGAATGCTTTGAAATCTTGGGAATATTTTAAAGTTATTATAAGCATGGTAAACTTTTGTTCAAAATGTATTTGTTCATCCCTCCTAAAAAAATTGATGACGTCACCCTTAAATTTTGCTGAATAAATCCTATCTAAAATGCAAAAAATATGATGAGTTTGTACTTGTGATTTATCATTCCATTCATATTTTTTAGATTTTCTTAAGAGGTGGTTCAAAAAAATTAATGAAGTCAATTTATTTTATTGATTAAATTAAAGGCAACACTTATTATTAGTATTACACCCCAACCAACCCAATTTGGTAGACACAAAATTTGTTAAAGGAAAAACTCGGTTGAAACATAAGGGTAGCACGCTTATTTACATCGACTTTAACATTACAGACCTGCATTTGTTATATGCGCTCACTTGGTTCCGCGAATGTGAAATAGACATGTTTATAATCAACCAATTGTGAATTTCACCGTCAAGAATTAAAATAAAACCCAATGTTTTATATAATAAGCGGAAGTCGAAGCAATAAAACTGATGGTCGTTTTGTTTACAGTTTCTCTGTTTGACTCTCACGTATGCTGTTACGCTTGTCATCTTAAATTAAGAATGTTTATACATAAACGATTTTCAGTTGCCTTTCATATTACTAGACAGCGAATTTTTGTCGGGCTACGTCACGATTATAGGTGGGGACGCGCTGGATCGCCGGGACTCAGTAGCGGGTGATAATCACTGAATTTAATCAGTACTAATTCCATAAATATAATTAACGATTTATTAATCAAACGGCTAAGTAAATGAGAACGGGAATTAACAGCAGAGTGCAACGAAACAGCGTTATTCTAATCTCAAATAAACGAAGTGCAGTCCGCAACCGCAATGAATTCGCATCCCGTACGAGCCGTACCGAGTTTGGCCTTGCTTAGCCCGACAGAAATCCGCTCTCTAGATATTACACACCGGCGCCGTATACGTGAATAAATTGTTTCGTTATTTTATTGATTATAAGAAATCAATATTCAAAACGACCCAATTCATTTTCCCGAAAATTTGGGAATACAATAATTTTATTCTTAGTATTACACTACATCTATCCCAACTGATATACGTGTCCTTGCAAAAATGTTGATGACGTCATCACAATTTTTTTTTAAATTCCCACTACAAAAATGTAATGAGAAAAAAAAACACAATAGGCATGCAGTCGTCAAGTTTCCGACAGCGAGGGAAGTACTGTCTAAACTCTTTAGACCAATTTTTTACTTCCCGAGCGTAAGCAAAGGAAGTATTGTAATCGAGTCCGTCGGCCGACTCTCTACTTTTACGTTTTCTCGATCTTTCATGACCCCTAGAAGACGAAGAAATAGGTCTCCCATTTCCGTCTGTCTGTCCGTCTGTCCGTCTGTCTGCCGTCCCGGATTTTTATTAGACAGATAATCTCCGAAAGTACTGGACCGATTCTTGTGAAATTTTGTACTTTTATTAGGAATATCATGTAGATGGTAAAACGCTAACCAAAATTTGTCTAATCATCCCCACCACTAATGCAATGACGTCACTTCAAAATTGTACATAGTAAATGGGTCTTAAATTGTATAAAATAACATAGTCCTACACATGTAGTTTACGACTCCGAATTGAGTTTTTACCCGAAACGTCCAGATTTTTGGAAAAAAAATCAAAATTATAGAACAACATTTTGCAATTTAATTTTGAATCTGCTAACCCGAATGTTTTGAAATGTTGCAGATGTTTTAAGACTCTAAAGAGCATCATAAATCTTTAGTCAGAATATATTTGGTTATCCCCTCCAAAAACTTGAAGACGTCACTCCAAAATTTTGCTAAATAAATCCTATCTAAAATGTACAAAATATGATGCGTCTGTACTTGTGATATATAACTCCGTTCATATTTTTGGGATTTGCATATACAGGGTGACTCAAAAAAATTAATGAATTCGCAAAATTTATTTTATTGATTTACTCAAGAACTACAAAACCGAATGCTTTGAAATCTTGAAGATGTTTTAAAGTTATCATAAGCATGGTAAGTTTTTGATCAAAATGTATTTACTCATCCTCCCTAAAAAATTTATGACGTCACCACAAAATTTTGCTGATAAATCCTATCTAAAATGTATAAAATATGATGAGTCTCTTCTTGTGATTTATCATTCCATTCATATTTTTTGGATTTGCATATACAGGGTGATCCAAAAAAATTAATGAATGCGTAAATGTATTTTATTGATTTAATCAGGAACTACAGAACCGAATGTTTTGAAAGCTTGCAGATGTTTTAAGGTTATAAAGAGCATAATAAATGTTTAGTCAAAATATATTTGGTTATCTTCTCCAAAAAACTGATGACGTCAGCTCAAAAGTTTGCCGAATAAATCCTATCTAGAATATACAAAATATGATGAGTCTGTACTTGTAATTTATCATTCCATTCATATTTTTTGAATTTGCATATATCGGGTGACTCAAAAAAAAATGAATGCATAAATTTATTTTATTGGTTTACTTAGGAACTACAAAACCGAATGCTTTGAAATCTACTGCGAAAAAAAAAACATAATAGGCATGCAGTCGTCACCTTTCCGACAGCGAGGGAAGTACTGTCTAAACTCTTTAGACCAATTTTTTTTGTTTATTGGACCAAGCTTCTGGCATATAATGCCAATCGTGTCACGTTTGTTACGATAGTATTTAATAAATTAAGTTAACTTTGAACGAAAATGCCAATGAGCTGTGCTGTACGGTGGTGTCGTAATTCGAAACAAAAAAGTAGTGGTCAAGAAGGTATTTAATTTCATCGGCAACACCTTATTGTTCCAAATAAACTTGTTAAGATTAATGTTTTTATAACTTTGAAATTGTTGAGATTTTATATTTGGCGCGATTTTGGGACTAAACAATATGGCGACTGCCGGCTTCAAGTTTTAGGCCACATAGCCGGTCTATACATATTTAAAGTCTCTGATCCGAGGTACCAATTTAAAAATCGTCTGCGCATCCATTTGTGACGTCAGGTGGCATCCACGACCTTGTGAGCTTCGCTAGGAAAGTCTAGGGAATTTCAGCTTGAGTTGTCATCGCTCTGTCCAATACGTCAATTAGTTGTCGGCTAACGAAAGTTAATGAAATTAATAATGATAAAAATATAGTTATTGAAAGTTGAACGGTCCAAAAATGTGGTTTCGTATCAATTTCGATAAATGTGGGACATCAGCAAATGCAAATAACAATTTGCTCTTATCACTTGAGTGTTGGAAAGAGGTTTTTGACATATTTAGGCTCAGTTCTCTCCACGAACCTAAATTCTGCGATCACATGACACATACGACTGCAACAACTGAATAATCAGTAATCACAAATAAATTTTTGCAATTTAAAGAATGTATTTTAAATTTCGCGCTAATTTGATGCCACTTGACGTCACACCCGATACGTATGCCTATACCATGGTCTTGGCTGTGATCGTTTAACAAAAAGGAACCTTACATTGTGTTTGTTTTTTTTTTGTGGCAGATGCAAGTGGTGGACCCCAAAGTTGGAAAAGTACTGCTAAATAAAACAATAATATATAGCGGACACAAAATCGTTTATTCCTCCACTGACAAAAAAAAAAAAGAAAAAGAAAAGCTGCGACTAAGTTGTGGTGGTTGAAGATACCTCATAATGCTCAGCTATTTTTACAAAAAAAACTTGTCTAACTTTGAATGAAATCAAATTAAACATTCCAAATCAATGCAGATATTTGAAAATCACAAATTTAATAAAAACAAAGAAAAATAGGAATTAAAGTAACTGAATGCAAAGACACAAGTTGTTACGGACGTGTGGCGACAAATTTAAATTATGGCAGTCAACAAAAGAACAAAATTTTAATAAAAAAAAGCTCTATGCAGTGCGGCGCACAGCAACAGAGGTACCAAACAGGGATGTTGCGGATGCAGATTTTTCAACATCCGCGGATGCGGATGCGGATGCGGATGCGGATGCGGATTTTTGGGGGCTCACATCCGCGGATGCGGATGCGGATGCGGATCTCAAGTTTTTTTTAAGAAACTTAGTATATGTACAGAAATCAGTTAAAAAAATGGGGGTTTTGAATATTTTTATTTAATAAACAAATTTTTAGTACGAAAATTTAAAAATTGTTGAATTATATTTAATAAAAAGTAATATTGCGGCCTTTTCAGATTCGAGTCTATTTCTCAGAGGTTCATAAATTAATCCTGCACTACTAAATAACTGTTCACTGGGAACACTAGCTGGTGGAGGCGATAAAAATCTGCGTGCTATTACAGATAAAATTTTTAATTCCGTACGATTAACGCTCCACCATTTAAGTGGATTTTCATTTATATTCAGCCTTGCTTTATTTCGATACGAAAGCAATTCCTTCTTGAGGACAGCATCAGGGGAACCATTTTCTGATATTTCTTGACTCTCATCTTCACTTGACGAATCTAGCATCATGGCAAGATCGCTTTTCAAGCATGGCTTTCTGGCTGTACCGGATGTTCCAGGTTGTTCCGTATCTTTCACGAGGGAATCTCCCATTTTCATTTTTTTCGCTGCTTTGAAATTTGGAGATATTTGAGAGTTTGAGACGTCATTCTCTATGTTTGTCCTAATCTTCAAAATATCGTCCTTAATATTTTCCTCAGTCACTGGTGTAAAAAACTTGTGCTTGTAGCGCGGGTCTAAGTACGTGGCTATGACATATAAGTTGTTCTCTTCCAACAAAGAAAATTTTGCTGAAACTTCAGTTTTTAGAGTCGTGACAGCCACCCGAATTGGATCAGAATCCTGTGGTCTTGTTAAATAATCATCAAGTTTTTTTCCAAGCATTTTAATTATTGGAATCACAGATGATATAAGTGTATGAGAGTTACTTAGTTCCCGTGTGGCTTATTCAAAAGGTTTCAATAGCTCAACACAACATCCAATAATTTTCCACTCTTCTGGCAAAATAGGGTCAATTTCACTGTCATTGATATAAAGACTCAATGCATCTTTTACCTTTAAAAAACGCTCAAACATGTAAAACGTACTGTTCCATCGCGTTACACAATCTTGAAACACTCTGAGATGCGGTTGATTCAGTCTGTCCTTGATTTTTTGCAGTTGTTTTTGAGCAATGGTGGAATGGTTAAAGTGAGTCGAAATTTTCTTACATTTTTGTTTGACGACTGTTATGTTTTCCTGCGATTGTAAACCACTTCGAATAGCGAATTGCATCTTGTGAACTGCACAATCCAAATCATTCAATACTGTTAATCGCATAACACTTTTCATATTGGAGCCTTCGTCACGAATAATGCAGTGCACTTGTTCTTTTGAAATATTCCATTCAGTAAGCATCGTGTCAAATTTTTCTGCAATTATGTCACCAAAGTGACGGTCGTCGAAGGTTTCGCATTTCAATATAATCAATGATCGATCAAAGTTTTCTGCGATTCCATGACAAGTCAGGCTAAGCAAAGATGCATTAGAGCTTGGATCCGACCAAATATCAGAAGTAAACGCCATGTAATCAAATTTTTCGATTAATTCTTTCACTTTGTTAGTAACTTTGCCATACAGTTCCGTGCACACAAAGTCAGTAAAAAAATCGGTTGTCTGTAAAGTCGGTTTACTGACGATAGTTGAACGTGACAACGTCTTAAGAAAATACTGATGGAATGGTAGCATTTTTCAAAAGAAAATTTTAATTTCATTTGTTTAATAGATTTGTATCTATATAGAGAAGGAGGTAATTAGAAATCACAATGAAATTGATCAAGTTAGATTTTCTCGCTTGCACTTCAAGCCTTACATGGAACGCCTCAGAGCGAGGTAACGCCGCATGAGTCATGTTTTTTCGTGCGTGCAGCCGGCTCAATCGAATTATAAGACGTTGTCACGTCAAAAAATTGCGCCCTCTTAAAGTATACCTTGGTGATAATTCTTGTATCAGTCTGCGAAAACCGAGTCTTTCTTGTCGCGATTTGCACCACATTTACATCCGCATCCGCATGAGTTCCGTATTGATTATTGCGGATGAGGATGCGGACGTCCAAATCAATGCGGAAGCTCCGCATTTGCGGATGCGGATGCGGATGCGAATATTCGCAACATCCCTGGTACCAAAGCGCCACAAGAGTGTGGCGATCGAACCACAGTAAAGATATCAATCAGTAGAGACAACTCGTGTCGGCACCTTTGATCTTTCTGACCCGAATTTTAAGCCGTCATCGGTGCTCGTTGCCCAAAATATTTCTAGATGTCGCCACCCAATTTAAAAAGGATCACAAACGCTTAATTTTAAAATTGATTCGTATACACAATTTACTACACTTTGTGCAAACGAATTTTTGGAAAAGACTTAAAAATAGTGTAATAACAATAACATTTTGTAACTAGTTGATCTTAGAAACCACACAGTCTGTTATAATAAATAATTAATTAAGCGCCCTATAAGAGAGATGCCGTGTTGAAATTTAGATGTGGCCCGCTTCTCTGATTACGATTTTACGTTTCATTAATTTCTTTTTCATGATGGTTGTAAAATTCAACGTTATTAGAAAACGCAATATATGTACATTTAATTTTTTTACAAAAAATTTTACTATTTAATTTTTTTACAAAACTAGCAAAGATTTATAAAACAAAAAAAAAACAATGTGACATAAAAGTTGCGCGGACAAAAAAATTACATGAAGTTAGGAGCTGCAGAGCATGAAAATTTATGTTCAATATAAATTATACACAAAGAAAATTACTGAAGTTAAAAATAATGAGATAGAGAAAAATTAATGAGGTGAAAAATTGTAAAGCTAACAAAATTACATGAGTTTAATATTTACCAACCTTTATCGACGATTCAAACAAAGAATTTACCTGGTGTTAAATTATGCCACACTTTATCAACGATTCAAACAAAGAATTCACATGATGTTAAATTATGCCACACTTTATCAACGATTCAAACAAAGAACTTAGACGATGTGAAATTATGCCATGCATGATCCAAGTGATTGGTTACTTAAAACATTTAGCTTTGAGAGTTTATATCGTGAACTATCCGCAGCTTATCCCAAACAAACAAAATAAATAAACAAAAAATGCATTCGTCGTTGCGAGAATTAGGTCTTGGTGGTGTAATTTTTAACATTGCGAGAAAAATGTCTCGATGATGTCATGATAACTGCCTAAGGGGAAAAATTTAATCCTTCCTGTACCTCAGTCCACGATATTATGAATTCTACCGCACTTTGCACGGTCCTTTTCCCAAAATGGGACAGCATTACGTTACTTTAACTACCGTAAATGAACTATTAGCAATCTTGTGTGAGGAATTAAGGAGTGTTATAATGTAACACTTAAGTATAAGCATGCAGAAACCTTATTTATAACTTGATAAACAAAGGATGAGTCCTGACTAAGTGAATTTCGTGAAATCTCCTAGCAAGTGCTTTATCTAAACAAACTCCTGACTATTAAATTGTGTTAGAACCAGTAACGATTAAAATCCTAACATGAACTGTGAATTTACAAACAAACACTAAAACAATTTTACACCACGTATTAGCCTCGGTCAAAAACTCGCATATTTCCGCTTGGAAAAACAACAAGAATTAGCTATGCGTGTTGGGGAAACTGTGGTGTCATCATCGTTACGATTAATTTTTGTTAAACAAAGGCTCCCCATTTTTATTAACTACCAAACCAACTAAACTTCACCTAGCTAACTCACCACGTGGTTTCATTCACACCAAACAAACCAAAAGCGACGGGTCGCACGCTCACCCCTCTAGCAAAGCAAGTCGATTTTTACCAACCCTCTCACTAGATGTTCCCCTAGGAGAGCTACTAACTACCAGAAAAGAACTAAAGGTGAACATTTTTTTCAAATTCAAATTATTCAAATGCGATTTCGCGCTGTTGTTTTTTTTCAGTGCGAAATTTTAAATCAGATCTGGTCACCACAGTTGTTTTTTTTTTCGTACAAATTTCAATGTGTTCAAGTCAACTTTTCTTCATATATGTATTGTTGATTTGACAAGTTTCCACGAATAAATCAAATTAAATTAATAACGAACTGTGCTTTACAAAAAGGTAAGGTTTTTCTATTCGGAATATATACAAATGAAGTGATCACTCCCCGTAGCACTGTGAGTAAATATTTTTCAACCTGTTATGTGTTTAATCGAAATTTTTATCCATGAATCATCTATCCACTGAAATCCGATTTGAATATAACAAAGTTCCGATGTTCCAATAAAAATTAAATAAAATATGGATAGGGGTTGAACATCATCACAGTAAATTAGAAACAAGGGATTAGAAAATACATGCAGAAGTATATTGTTCTCCACATTTCAATATAGATTTAATTCAAACACTTTGGAAGTGACGTCATCTGGGGGATAAAAAATAAATTTTGATTAGGGAGTTACCACGTTTATGAGAACTTGAAGGCGTGCCAGGAATCGTTTTTTTGAATTTTCAGGTATACGTGTAGTCTTGTTGTATAATTTTTATATTTTTGGATATATTATATGCGTTTAACATTAAAAATGTATTAATATCATTAGTATTATTATCCAAAATAACGCTGGACTAACAAACTATCAACACACATAGAAGCTCGTTATTGTTCATATTTTTAATAGCATAATTACATGTATTTCGACAAATTTTTGGAAGTGATGTGCAAATAAATTCTAATCAGCGATTTACCGTGCACATGATAACCTTACACTGTGTATAAAATTTCTGTTCACTCGATTTTTGTTTGCTAAGGATAAACAATAAATTTGTATTGCATAATTTGAATTATTTTTATAAAACTTTATGGACATAAGGGTAAAATAGTATATTGTTTAACGAATGAGAAAGTTGGGCATTCCAACTTCCAGGACGAGAGTCTTCGGAACGAGCTAAACGCGAGTGGAGGAACTCATCCAAGTGGAATGACCAATTTCTCACGAGTTTAACACTAGATATACTTTTTCTGCTCATAGAATCAAGAAAATAAAGACAAAAAAAATTGGTCTAAAGAGTTTCGACAGTACTTCCCTCGCTGTCGGAAACGTGACGACTGCATGCCTATTATGTTTTTTTTTTCGCAGTGGATTTCAAAGAATTCGGTTTTGTTGTTTCTGAGTAAATCAGTAAAATAAATTTACGCATTCATTAATTTTTTTGAGTCACCCTGTATATGCAAATCCAAAAAATATGAATGGAGTGATAGATCACAAGTACAGACTCATCATATTTTGTACATTTTAGATATGATTTATTCGGCAAACTTTCGAGCTGACGTCATCAATTTTTTGGAGGGGATAAGCAAATGTATTTTGACTAAACATTTATTATGCTCTTTATAACCTTAAAACATCTGCAAGATTTCAAAGCATTCGGTTTTGCAGTTCATGATTAAATCGAAAAAATAAATTTACGCATTCATTAATTTTTTTGAGTCACCCTGTATATGCAAATCCAAAAAATATGAATGGAGTGATAAATTACAAGTACAGACTCATCATATTTTGTACAGTTTAGATAAGATTTATTCGGCAAACTTTCGAGCTGACGTCATCAAGTTTTTGGAGGGGATAAGCAAATATATTTTGACTAAACATTTATTATGCTCTTTATGACCTTAAAACATCTGCAAGATTTCAGAGCATTCGGTTTTGTAGTTCCTGATTAAATCAATAAAATATATTTACGCATTCATTAATTTTTTTGAGTCACCCTGTATATGCAAATCCAAAAAATATGAATGGAGTGATAGATCACAAGTACAGACTCATCATATTTTGTACATTTTAGATATGATTTATTCCACAAACTTTTGAGCTGACGTCATCAAGTTTTTGGAGGGGGTAAGCAAATATTTTTTGACTAAAGATTTATGATGCTCTTTATACCCTTAAAACATCTGCAACATTTCAAAGCATTCTGGTTAGCAGATTAAAAATTAAATTTCAAAATGTTGTTTTATAATTTTGATTTTTTTTCCAAAAATCTGGACGTTTCGGGTGAAAAGTCGATTCGGAGTTGTAAACTACATGTGTAGGACTATGTTATTTTATACAATTGAAAACCCATTTACTATGTACAATTTTGAAGTGACGTCATCGCATTAGTGGTGGGGATGATTAGACAAATTTTGGTTAGCGTTTTACCATCTACATGATATTCTTAATATAAGTACAAAATTTCACAACAATCGGTCGAGTACTTTCGGAGATTATCTGTCTAATAAAAATCCGGGACAACAGACGGACAGACGGACGGACAGACGGACAGACGGACGGACAGACGGACAGACGGACAGACGGACGGACAGACGGACAGACGGACAGACGGACGGACAGACGGACAGACGGACAGACGGACAGACAGACGGAAATGGGAGACCTATTTCTTCGTCTTCTAGGGGTCATGAAAGATCGAGAAAACGTAAAAGTAGAGAGTCGGCCGACGGACTCGATTACAATACTTCCTTTGCTTACGCTCGGGAAGTAAAAATCAAGAATGGAATATGTATTTTGCACATTTTGAATAGAATTTCTATTTAGCACATTTTGACTCGACGTCTTTAAATTTTTAGTGGAGATGGAAAGTGAAATTTTCGTAAGCATTTTACTAACTCCACGATAACTCTAAGAACTACACCTAGAAGTTCAAAGTAATCGATATAGTAGTTTTGGAGCTTATCTGTCTAACAGACGATAGACAGACAAACGGCAGGCAATGAGAGATGTAGATTTTCATATCATATATCTATGAGTCATGTAATTTCCAGAAGACATGAAACTGATTCCTCAAACGGGCCGTGTTACAATACATCCCTACTGCTACGCCCAGGAAGTAAAAATGCATTTTTAATTCAGTAACATCGTATGTAACTTAATTAAAATAAGAATACTGCTCATGATTTTCTTAAAAATGAACCGGTCTACTAGAATGCAGTGTTAAAAATTTACGGCACTTGTAACGTTGATCCAACTTGGAAGATGTTATATAAACAAATATTATATACAGCTAAGGGACGCTAGGCCCTCTACAGAAAAGGAGAATGAACTATTTCAGAGGCGGCTTCTTTATAAGGGTTGCAGAGCTATAGAACTCCCAAAATCAAAGTAATAAAAATAAAAAAAAGAGTGCCTCGACCCATGGACGTACGGGTCGAGTTTTAACTCTGCGTTGTCAATTTATATCAATTAAACACGTATACGCGGCGAAAAACCAAAAATATGTTGCATTTATATTTTTTGACAAAATGATGAGTAATGATGATGGTTGGCTTAATTCAAGTAAATATCCATGTATGTACTGTCAATTGTTGTTTATTATAAAATATACTTTTTTATTAAGACCCACCACTGACCCGGAAATGACCGGCATTCAGGCAAGACTTCTATCATTACGGGTACCAAAACCAAGTAATGATATGCATTGATTAGATTAACAAAACAACTTTCGAGATTCTAGAATTACAGCATACAAATTAGTCTGCTATTATTCTCTAATCTCACCCCATATCATTTATTCATCATATAGAAATATTATAATTAACTCTTTAGTACGTTATATACGGGAGTTTCGGGAGTCCCGAAAACATAATAAAAAAATTCTTTATGATGTAGATTACGAAAAAAACATAATTTTATAAAAGTAAAATTGGCAACACTGCACACACCTAATGCATGCATAGCTCCAGCTTATTTTCTGATTGCTTAGTAACGATGGTGACTGAGATCCACCTTCCCTTTATATTAGGCAAACATTGTTGTCAAATGGAATTTTATCAAATTATTACAAAAACAACACAGCCGAATCTTTGTGCATTCTAACTGAAATGGTAATTAAACATGGTCATGGGCGAAAGAAATACTAACTAAAAGTTTTATTACTAGTTATTGTGATAATGAATCTGTTGTTTAGTTGTTAACCGTAGCAAAAGAACCAATTTTAAAATTATTATAACTCCACCAAAATATGAGAAGGCATTTTTTTACTATTTTTCCCAGACTCACCAGTTGTTTGTTAAGAGCGTAGCGGAGAGTTAATCCGCCATTTTCCAGACACTCGGTATAAAAAAAATTAAAGGACAATGTGTAATTTACCAACTAAAGTAAGAAGCAAAATGCTAGATCAGTATTTACAACTTATTCGATTTAAAATAGAAATTACTGTTCAATCATAGCATTATCGCCTTCGCTATCTTTATCTCTATAATTTAATACAGTTATTAGTGGTGTATGGTGACTAAAATGAGTGATATAAAAAA